CGGGCCGTGCAGCGCTTCCTGAAAGGGCGCGGCGCAGTCACGGGGCCACAGCAGGGTCGCCCCCGCCCTCACTTGCCGAGCCCAGGCTGGGGCCGCCCTGGGGCGGGGGCAGAAACGCCTCTGGAACTGGGGAAGAGGGGGCGTGGGGAGTGTCTGCGCCGCCGGAGAGGCAGCCAGGGCGGTGGTGSTGCGGCTTTCTCCCGTGCATTGTTTCCAGGCACCTGCCCACCTTCTCGGCCCGGCCCCTCTGGGAACCCTGAGTACTGTTGAGCGTGACTCTTTGTGTCCTGGGTTAATGGCGGTGCTGAGAGCCTGGTTTAGGTTTTGATCCCCCAAGGAAAACGCAGGGTGTGCTGATGGAAGGCTGCCAGCTGAGCAGGAGCTGGGCCAGGGTGCGCCTCCCCCGCCGGGCGAGGCAGCGAGCTGCTGCTCTACACTTACCAACTCCTTATCTAACACAGAGACAGCATTTATCTAACTGTTAGAGAGCCTTGACCCGCCAAGCTTTTCCAGCCAGGCTGCTAATCACGGCGGGGAAAGGACCAGCAGTATTTTTACATACATGAAAACATTGTATTTTTCTTTGTTTTGGGGTTTTGGTTTCTTTGTGGGCTTTACTGTATTATTTTTCTTTTGTTAGTTTTTGGTCAGTGAAGGTAAACCTTAACCTTACAGGCTAGAAAGTGGCAGAAGTGGTTCCCCGAAATGAATGAGGGTGGTTTGCTCCAGCACACACTTATTTTAGGAGCTCCCATCACTCTGCTTCCCACAGCAGAGCACCAAGGCTAACCACATGGATTGTGGCTCTTTTGGCTTCTCTAAAGGACAAGATAGAAGCAGTTGAGTACTTCACGTTTGCTGTAAGGATTTGTTTGATACTGCGTGCTGGGAACATTAAATATGTGAAAAATTTTGGGATWGGTTGGGTTGGGTTAAAGGCTGCGCACCAAAGAAACTCTTGAGACACATGAGTGGAATGGTTTTGCTACCAGGAAATGCAGAGGCTGACAGTGATTTGTGTCTGTGCTTGCATGTCTCCAGTAGTGACTCTGGATTGTATTCTTTATTTAAGTACTGGAGTGACTTGTATATACAGAAGCAGGAAAGAGCAGAATGAGGGGGTATTGGATAACACTAGTGGAAGTGATCAGAAATTCCCYGGAGAAAACCAGAAACTTCTGATGTGTGAAATAAGGAGAACTGTTTGGAGGAATGATGACTGTAGTTAAATATTTACTTTATGACATCAACACACGGCAGTTAARAGGTACTTGATGAATATGTAACTTAGAAGCTGGGCTCTAATGCTTTTTAGCTGGTGGAGATCTCAAGAGGAAATTCTGAATTCTGATTGTGTATGTGCTTATAACATGGTAGAGAACTAACCAATATTTTAAAAGAAAATGGTATAGATATCTAGATAGTACTAAGGAGACAAGAATACTTAGTTGGAAAAGAGGAGAATCTACTGTTGTTTTGTAAAAGATCTTACAGCTTTGTCCCATGCCCCTCTACTCAGTCCTGACCCTGAGTTGCTACCTGGCTGTCTCATAGAGGGTGGTGTCAGCAGTGAAATAGCTGCTGACAGCTCCAGTGCAAGGGCATGAACGCATAAGGACTCTGTGGTGCATTTAAGTGTAAGTAAAATACCTGCATGCCTGCTTGGGAACTTCTTATGTGTCGTAACAACAACTTTGTGTGAGGAAACTCTGCTGTACCAGCTGCAGTTAATCTCTATTGTGTTATGCCACCATTGTGTATAGAGTGCTGCCACTGTTGAACAGAGAGGGGAGAAGATTTTTAGAGTTCTTGGCCTCAAGGGGTGGGACAGTGAAGGGAGGATGTAAAGGAGCTGGAGCCAGGAGCGCTGCAGTGGCGCCAGTGACAGGAACAGAGACAACTGGTACCAAATGAAACACAGGCACTTGTTTCCAAACATAAGGAAACTTTTTTTTTTTTTTTTTACTGAGGAGGTGAGTACGCACTGGCACAGGTTGACTGGAGAGGTTGTGGAGTCTCTGTTCATGGAGAGATACAAAGGTGGTAGCAGTGTCCCTGCTTGGGGGTGGGACGGTGGACTCGATGACCGACCTGCTCCCAGCCTCAGCCATGCCCTGTTTCTGTGACACTGTTTTCTAGCAGAGCCCAAGCCCTGATGTTTCCACTTTATCTSAACTTTCTGAGCTCTGGGGTCACTATTTAGCTCTGTAGCTATTTCTGTTGCATTCCCTTGTTTGCCTCAGTAGCCCRTTTCTCTGTAGAGTTGAGATTTTGGACTTCACCTATTTCCTTTCCTGGTTCACACTAGAGGGAGCMCTGTGGTGGCCTCAGATTTCTCCTGCAGCTCTGTCATTTAGAATTCGGAATGTTCCTGCTGAGGATCTGTTATCAAAGCAGAGAATACAAAGCTGTGTCTTGGAAAGGTTTCATTTTCTAACTAAATCGAGCTTTTGAATTGCTTGTAGGTGAAATAATGCAGCAGCAGACTGACAGGTTTGGCTGAGTTTTGATTCTGCTCAGCTGCAGCAGTGATGCGGCTTCTGACGTTCATTAATGCAAAAAATATTGATGTTTCTATTATGCTTGGCATTTATTTTGGCTGCTGTGGAGATACATTTGTAAACTGTGTGTTGGTTGCTGTGCTACAGGAAGTTTYTATTTGGTTTGTATTTGGTTGATCCACAAGGAACTTGTTTGTGATTGTGGCAGGGTTGCTTGAATACATAAGGTGAGAAAGGCACTTTTAAGTTTTCTTTAGAA